AGCCATATTTAACCCTCTGCAGAGGAGGCCCAAGGAAGGGAAAAAAAGTATTAGAAGAAGAGGAAGGAAAAGACAATATTCTCATTAATTCTCTAGACTAAGGAGCAAGATTTGTTTCTGTAATAAAATAGGTGTTTTTCAGGAGGATTATATTGCTATCAAATAGTAGACATCAGCTAAGGAAAGGGCCTCAGCTAAGCCTAAAGACACATGCAAAATTCCTGAGCCATTTCTGCTTTCATCAAGAATCCTTCTGGAATAAGAAAAGTAAAATTTGAGAATTAAAATAATTTTAAAATTCTGAATATATTTCTGTTCACCTGCCTGTTTTCCTCAGGGAAGAATACGTGTCCCTGAAAAGGTCATACTGTCAGGATGACTTTTTTGGCTGACAAAGTTGAAGTTCTAATAAATCAGCATTTGGTTTCCTTTTAATTTGGGAAATTAAAAGGATATATTATCTTTTTCAAGACACTTTATCAAGTACATTTTATCTTTTTCACATTTATATTTTATCTTTTTTACATGACACTTTCTGTGATAGGCATACAGACGACCAGAAGGATGTTTTCTTTGGTAGGAAATTACTGACTATTAGATAGTGCCTGTTTGTTACTGCCCATTCCCTGTCCCTTGTTCCTTCAAAGAAACAGGTTCCATGGGAAGCAATTAGCATGAAATAATCTAATTTAATGAGATTTCAGTGCATATGCACTAGATTCTTGCACTGATTCTAAAGCAATTTTCTCATTACCTGCCTTGCCTAATCTTTTGCAGTATCTTGAATGTGCTTTATTCTACTCAGATGTTCCGTAGGAGTGGTGCAAACCCAAAGTGAGACTTGCCTGAGAGACTGTGAGAGTTTGGGTTCTGGAGCTCGTCCTCACTAACTGGTTCACATCCTGCATTGATTCAGTGGCAGCTATCAGCACTAAGTACTATCACAGATTGCTGAAGTTGAGCACTAGAAAATAAGAAATTGCTCAATTTGTAACCACTGCTCTCTTAATATTTTGACTCCCAACCTGTGGCCATGACAGAAATGAGTTCTTTTTTGTAGCTGAATGCATTGTGTAAACCACAGCAGCATCCTTCTGCTAGGCTCATTACCAACACGTTTTAAAATGTGTAAAACAATATTGCCTGGGAACATGAAATTTCTGAACTGTATTGCCAGAGCATCAAATGATACAGCCTCAGAAGAACTAGGGAGCATCACGTGATATAATCTCAGTAGAAGTAGGTATTCTTTACATAAAACAGAATAAAAAGAATGTGAAAATGTGCCCAAGACTATTATAATGTGAAAAAATGTGGTAGAAATTGAGGACAACGTTCCCTCTGCCCCTGAATTTCATTTCAGAAGACTAATTCTGCGTGGCTGAAGAGAGGACTTTTCTTCCCAAATTTTTGTGTTTGTCTGATGGCCAAACTCCTCTTCCACGTGATGGATTCTTCTTGGAGATCCATATCCCCATCTGGCCAACGGGGGGGGGGGGGGGCCTGAGGCAGCCTCTGAGATACTCTTGGGAAACTTCAGGTGTTTTAAGGCTGGTTTTTACCTGTGGGTCCCCAAGCTTCACATTCTATCTTGAGCCTGTGGAAGGTGCAGCCCAGGATCATAGCAGACATCCCATAGAAAACGAAATTGCATTACATTTTCAGTCATTTATAAAGCAGTGTGCAGCAGATCCTCAAGCAGTTTATTTTCTTTAACTTATGTGTGTATCTCTGGAAGGAAACACATGTTTCTCCTCATGGTCAAGTCCTGGAAGTTGCAGTTTAAATTTGATGAAGTGTTTTATTCCCCCAGATAAAAACAAATAAATAAAAAATTAGATTTAAATGCATTTGTTGATGAGGAAAGTCAGGAATCCTCCTAATTAAGACATTTCTTAGAAAGGTAAATTTTTTATCTGGGAGCATAAAACACTTCATCAGTTTTAAAGTCACATCTGCAAGGAGTGGGTAAAGAGGAGAAACAGGCATTTTTCTTCATTCTGGCTTGTATGTGAGTTTAAGACTTTTAACAACAGTTTTAAAAATATTTAAATCTAGTTAGAAACACTTGCAATATAGTGGGGATAAAAGTGCCCTCCCTCCCTCTGTTTTTAATCTGGTTCTCTTGATGGAATAAACTACAAGGTTGAATTGGTAACTGGATTATTGCCTCATAAAACAGCACGAGGTTACTATTATCCTTTAATTTTATATCTTTATTAGGGAGTAATGTTGGTCTTATTTAAATCACTGACTGCTCTAATGGTTTTTCTCCCCTTTTACAAATTTATAAAACTAAACCCTAAAGGATTTGGTCTAAGTGCAATTGGCATAACTACCATTATAAAAATCTTTCTGTTAGCAGTTGGTTATAATCAGCTGCTTTAACTGGGCTCAGAATGAAGCAGAATTTAGCTGTTGATAGGTAGAATAATACTGATAAAATATTATTTCTGAATTTTATTTCAAAAAGCTCCATTTCCAGTAAGGACTTCTGAATTTTGAGGCAGTGTAAAGATGAATAGCAGTGCCCTGGAAACCTATAATTTAGCACGTTTGTGCAAATGATGTATGAAACATATTTTGTATTTCTACAAAGACTTAAAGAAGTTTGTCTTTGTCTTGAAATTCAGTAAAGTAACTTTAAAATTCATGAAAGTTAGTCTTTTTTAGAAGGCGACTAATACACGTGGCTTATTTAATGATGCATTCCAGTGAATACACCCACCTGAACTTTGGAACACAACACATACTGTGGGTGAATCATTGGCAGTTCTTAGTAGTAAAACTCCTATTGGATTTGTGTCATCATGGTGTATTTAAAATTTTGATACCCTGGGTTCATTTTTGGAAAAATGTGACATCCATTGGTTGATCTCAGAGTGCTTTGATTAAGCATCCATTAATAGGGAAAGAAACATGGGTCTCTCTGTTCTGGTGTAGCTCTGTGGCTGAGTTATAGTTGGGTTTTATACAGAAAGTGAAGAATCTGCCACCTTCAGTGCCTGACTGACAGAATTAGAGCATTTGCTGTTTGAATGCAAGCCAGATACTGACTTTTCAATCAGCATACTTAGAAACTGGTCAAATAATTTGCTGCAAATTTTGTATTTTGACCTTTTTTTTCTGAGAGCAATCTTACCAGTGCAATAACATGAACACACTAAAACCTTTTAATTAAATCAAAGCAGATTTTAAGTTATTAATGGAATATTTTAGTATCAGTCAGAATCATCACTGTGTTTGCAGTTGCCTCCTTTGATTGGGACTGCTGCAGGCAATGCCATGTAGAGCTTCTTTCTCTTAAAATATCCATTGTTCATGGCAGGCTCCTTTCTGAAAATTGCCTATAGTGAGTGTTTTAAAGAAGCCCTTCAATTCCTCTTTTAGCTTCATTGAACAAAGACTGGAGAAGATATTTATAAATACAGGAGTGTGGGCTCCACATTGACCAAAAAGTAATGGGAAGTGATTATAGTTTTGCTGAAGGCATTGTGAGGGAGGACATTGATGTCTTGGATCCCTCTGAAATTGAGAGAATACTAAAACCATTTTGAAAAGCATGAATTATTTTCAACTGTATGATATGGTGAAATACATGCAACATGATTTTCTTGAAATTTGTCTTTTCCTTATATAACATCATGGCAAAAATTAGTGAAATGCGAATGAAAATAATTTTGTAACCTAGGCAAGAGGGAAGAAAGAGGGTGTCATTTGGTGTCAGGAAAAGTCGAGGTGAAACTTGAAAGCAAGGTAGACTGAGGCTGTGCATTTGTGTGTGTTCTAGAAAATATCTATGCAAAACAACATTACTTTTGGGGATTAAGTGGAGGTATGGCAAGTAAGTGGCACCTGGGATTAAGAGAGGAGATATTCACAGGGCAATGCAGGGCAGTGGGTGAGAATATGTGGCTTGTTCCACATAGGTTCCATGGGTCAGGTTCCTTTCAAATACTCTGCAAATGCCAATACAGCTGTCCATGTTTTACCCCTGGTTGTGTTTATTAGTGCTTGCTGGTCAGAATTTAAAACAAAGATCAATAATATGTTTATATTATTGAGCACAGTCCATGGTAATTCCTTGTGGTGCCTTCTTGATAAACAAATGTAGGTGATATTGATAAGCAAATCCTGGATGTTTGGGTTCCTTAATATATGTGTTTACATATTGGTTTTTTTAATGTAACATGAGTTTTGGTTAATGATATGATTATTGCATATATGAAATATCTCTGTCACTTTTTTTTTTGTTCTAAATGATGCAAATTTGCTTAAATCCAAAATGGATCTTTTCTGAGAATGGAGGTTGTAAAATAATAGTGTGGCTTTATAGTTAGGGTTACCATGATCATTCACAGGCAGAACTGGAAAACAGAATTTTCCTATTGAAGATCTCCATATTTGATGAGAATGATTCACCCTATTAGAGAAGGCATAGACATAGCAGATAATTAGGATAATGTCTCTCATTTAGCTCTTTGTAGGGAGCCGCTTGTTAGAAACCACTTTGTGCATTTAATTTAATCCTAAAGGAATTGAATGAACCTTAGAGAGGGGACTTCATGCTGATAATTACATAATAACCTGTTTTTATGTCAGACACTTAATGGCTAAGAGGTTATCATTAAATGTGTAATGAGCAGTTCTGTTCTATAACTGCCTAAGATGTTCTCTCAAGGGTTATCATTTGTTGACTACTTAAACAGCTGCCTGTATTCAACATTTTAGGTTCTTTATTGGTTTGTTTTCAGAGCTATTTTTTCTCTTGAAGGAGTCAAAGAAAAGTCCCTGTTTCTGTTGATATATAATAGATAGTTCCAAGAGTAATACTGAAAGTGTTGAAGCACTTTACATGAAAATAATCTTCATATGGGAACTTTGCTTCAGGTTTTAGTGAAACCACAACCTCAGTTAGGGTGTTTGTTAATTGCAGATTTTTCTTGGAAGTGAGGACAATAGATTAACATGTTGTTTTTTAATCTTCTCTTTTAATTTAGACTACTGAGCTGTAAATTGAAAGGAAGATAGTTTCTGCTTGTGGAGGAAAAGAAAGGTGAATGACCTCAATGGAAGACTCCCAGGATCTAAGTGAACAGTCAGTAAGTATAAATGTTGCTAAATTGAATGGAATAAATTGAACTCTGTTCAACAAAGTTGTGTGAAAGGATTTTACTTTGGATTTGAAAATTGTAGTGAGATCTGGGGAAACCTTCTGAGTTCCTAGTTTTAAACCTTTTAGTTTGTACATTAAATGGTAAAAGTGGCTTTAATCTTTTTTCCCTGTTGAAAGAAACAAGATCTTTGTTATGTAGTTTTGCTGAACTACAGTTGTTAGAGGGATATAATTAAGCTGCATTGGAAGAATAAAATGGTAGAATCGTTCACAGTGGTATGCCTTGTTCAAGTAATTGCATTAAAATGTATGTCCATAGTGGTCTGTCAGTTTTTCCAAATCAAGGGTTACCAAAAACAGAAGCAAAATATTTCAAATGGTCAGACTGGCAGATGACATACACTAATTTTTTCAGGATTCTCTTGGATTTCAAGGGGATTGTGAGAATTGGTACTCTATCTCCCATCCCAAGTCAGAGATAGATTCTTCTTTTCACTGATAACATTTCTGGGAAAAATGGGGTGGACATTTTTTCTCCTTTCCTTTCTTATTTTTCCTTGCCTTTAAGGATATCATCTTCAGATCTCCTCACCACCAGACTACAGTTCTGAAGGGACAGCAGGCTCTGAGGAAATTCAAAACTATCTGGGCTTGCCATCCAATGTATTGGGCTTTTTAGCATCTTAATTTTCTGCTGTTTCTTACTACATAAATAGGGACACATTTTGCCAGTACCATGATCTCTGTGATTCTCAGCTTGGACTTAGTGTACTAAAGATGAACAAAGGGATTTAGTATTTCTATTTCTGACATGCTGAAGGAGGTTATCCATGCAACAAACTTGAAAAGTCTGAATATATATATAAAATTTTAGAGACTTTTATGGGTAACATAAGTGCAAGTAAATGGGAAGAATTGCAGTGTTTCTGAAATGTCAGTAATTTTCTTTAATAAGGAGTACTTTGCTCCTGGCTGGGTAGCTCCTATCTGAGACTTTATCTTGGACTAGAGTTTTATTACTGATTTTAAATGGTACAGGACTGGAAAGTCTTAACAGTGTCTTAAGTCCCCATGGTGGCACTACCTGGGACAGCTGCACATATTTATGTATTTAAAGTGTTCCCAAGCAAAACTTTAGAGCCTGTAAAAGCTACATGGCTTCGTAATTTAATAAAATTTTATAAAGTTCATAAAAGATTAGGCAGAAGTTCATCTCTTGTAATCTGTGAAACACTTTTTCTGTGGAGTATTCATGGTGTGGTTATTAACAGGAGGTAGATGAGACAGTTTAGCTTACTGAAAAAACATCTTTCCATAGTAGTTAAAATGTTTTTGCAACACTGGATGCCTGATAAATATATATTTTAGAAGCAATTTTATGACCCCATCATAGTATAATCTCTGTAGTATTTCTCATAATTCCTACATGGTTTTATGCTACATGTGAAAATGGTCTGCAGATTGCAAATTGAGGTGAAATCTGTGCTGTGTTGCCTATGAAGGTGGTGTTTGCTGTCTTTATGCTAGTATCGCAGAAAGTAATGATTCCAGACAAGTTTATTCTTCTTACTGTTCACTAACAGTGTCAGAACTTGAAGGTAATGGGTGGGAGAGCCATTTTATCACTGCCTTTATCCAGGTGGGCACTGAGACTAAAATCTCACCTAGAGCTTGGGCACTGTCCTGGGAATTGTGTGAGGCCTGTCTGCCTAGAGCAGGCACTAAGCCTTCATTTCCCAACTTCAAAAGCCATTTCACTGCTACATCATGGTTAAACTCCTCTCTTAGCCAATTTTCAAAAAAGAAAATAGCATTTCTGGCTTAGTTCCTTACAAGCCACAGGGCATGTCTGTGGGCTAGAGATCTCAGGAAGCAGGAGGCTTTGGTGGTTTAAACTCTAAGGTATCAGATGTATCTGCTTGAAGTGCAGCTGTGCTGTTTTGTACTGGTTAATGCATTTTATACTGGTTAGCTCTGGGCAGTTTCTGCCCATGAGGCAGGATTTCTAATTCTTGAAGGGTTCAGGGAGCACAAGTACTTCATGCCAGCCTCAAAATTTCATTTGGGAATTAAATGCATAATATTTAGATCATGAAAATTCATGGAGCATTAAGGACCTAGCCTCTGTTGCATGTGTATTAGATTTTGTGAATAAGCATGAATGTGAGACCTGTGCTCAAACTTGTGCTGATGCCTTGGCTTCGAATAGTCTAGTCCTTGGTTACTTTAAAGACTGCCTTTCTCTGCAGCTGGGATGGGTTAGAAGGTGTTTGCTTTTGCATGGTGTGTTTGATGGACAGTCGAGTTTTCTGTAGAGAAAGATTCCTTTATTGGATTAATTTCCCAGGGAATTCTGTTAAAGAATCTTTCATCCTTGGGTAAAGAAGCCAGGCACAGTTCCTTGGTATAGTGAACAAGAATAATTTTCAGGTTTTTATTTAAAGAAAGGAAATTATTCTAACTTTTGAGAGTAGATCATCCTCCTGAAGCATGATATACTGTAGTGTAGCTTTTATTCTGACAGTCTTTAGTCTAAGTTTTAGATCACTACTAGTATTTTAACTCAAAAAAATGCACCAATAAGAAATGATTGGTTGTGTGATTCCTGTCCTGAAATTATATCAGTTAGGTGAAATTTATATGATCATACCTAAGAGCAATTTCACAGCATCCCTGTGGCCACATGAGAAATAAATTATTTCCCTTTTGTCTCAGTGCAATGACTGCATGACCACATACTGCTTCAGGAATCTGTGCTACCCTGTTCTCAGAGCCTCTGAAGAGTTGTTTTTGACTGAATTGAGCAGCTGCTGTTTTCTGAGATGCCAGCTTGATTAGATGTAATATATATATATACACACATATATATATACATACACATTATGTCAGTAATTTATTTGTTTCTCCTGTTTTTGACCAGAAGTCAGACTACTTGTCTAATTGTTGCACTGTAGAGCCTCTGTATTGGGAAACCTCTTGTGCCCCCTTTCCTCTGCCTTCCCTTTGTTGGCAGAGGTGGGGGAATCAAATCTTAATCATGATCATTCAGCGAGAAAAAGAGTCAGAATCAGAATTGAATTTATTATACTTTGGCTTTCCTGTCTCTACTCACAAGTGAATAGGTGAATGGCTCTATTTTGAAGACGAGGAGAAAAATGATGCAATTTACTATCTGATGCAGAGGTGAGCTGGGATCCATCAGGTGCAGTGGAGATCCAGTGGATCCTTGCGGCTGGCATGGAGCAGTCTGGGATGGGGCATATCATGCTACTGTACTTTCTAGGGTGGATGTGTGTCCAAAAAAGCTCATAACTCTCTTTTCCTTTCCAGTTCAGATGCAGAATATATTTGTACATCCGTGTATGGAATTTTCTTTAAATTTATGGGAAGGCTCAATTCTGAGTGAAAAAGACGAAAATAGTAAGACATGTATAGCATAGATAGAAGAAAATAACCAAATGATCCTTTTCATTTTCTGGTGTGAGGTTTGTCATCAGGTGCAGACCACAACTTACCAAGTGAAAGAATACTTTAAACAATGCCAATTGGTCTTACATGGACAGGTGGAGCTATGTTTAAGTTCTGTTTGTTTTGAAATGGAAGAGAAGGAAATTTTACAGATCTTGTATTCATGAAGAGTCTAGCAATAGGGAGACAAAAGTTTTTCCAGACTGGTCTTGGAGATGATAAATAAAACTATAATTTTTTAGCACCTAAATAGTTCTCTGCCGTGCTTCGGTATAGCAGACACACTTGGGATTTTGAGAACTACCAGTTTACATTCTTTATTTTGTCTCTTTTAGTCATCACTTTCTGTTCAGTCTGTATTAGTAGAAGAAGAACAATTTGGCTGCTAACTCACTAGTTTAGGGTTTCAAAGGGCCTTATTAGAAACTGGTGTAATTTCATCCCCTGGTCCTTTTATATAACAGCCTGCATATTTAGATTACTTCATTTTAACCTAGAATTAAACAATAGATTGCAGTGCTGTAGGACAGGACACTAGCAGATGTGAAGCTAAACCTGAGTGAACAGGTTTTTATTTTTGTGACATTTGGACAATCATCCCCCTTGTGCCCTGGGTAAGTTATTTTTTTTTTATCAGATTGTACAGACTGTTATATCTGTTACTTGCATTTATGGCCCACTTGCAGATGGACGATCTTTGGCAACCTTTTTTGGATGGGGTTGTTTTCCCGTTTTTGTTTTGTTTTAATGTGTGAAGCTGTCAGATGTGATCCCTTTGCAGATCAGTTTTCAGCTGCAGCTACTTCTCTGTTGCATGAGCCCTGTACCTGCAGCATTTAATCTTCCCCACATCTGGGGTGGGCAGCCTGCTAGAACTTTGGCTGGAGCTCATTGCAAAGAAATAAAAATTAGTTTTAACTCTTTACCTGAATTTTAAAATGCATTGTTTCACTGTACTGCATTGCAGCAAAGCATGTTGTGGTTGCTATCTCTGTTATATCAGTATTAGTAGGACTTGGAATATTACAGGCAATTCATCTTCTCAGGTTAGTGATGTAGCTTGAAAGACTTATCTGGAAGTTACCTGGTCTAGCTGCTGGTCATGAAATGATGGCAGTATGCACAAATACTTCAGTTATGAAAGCAAGGAACATTTAAGATAGGTAAGTGAAAAAATTACGAATGTAGTAAGAAAAAATTAGTTTTCTTGATGAGTGATTATTTGCTTTTAATTAAAATCAGCCATTGAAGAAAAATGCCATAACTTCAACTCAGCTGTAATAGAAAGCAGTAGAAAACCAGGCTGCCTTTTTGAAGGTTTATTTCAGAGTATTATTGAGAATTGCTTAGGTATTTTACTACCTCCTTTCTACAGACAAGGTAACTGGCACAGAGAGGCGGTGTGCCATAGAGGATCCAAAATTGTCACCCAGTTTGAATTAAAGTAAATAAAGAATAAAATGTAATACCATAATTCCTTGTCTCTCATCTAATAGGAATTTGAGGTAGAAACATCAA